GTTTGCCGATTCGGGATCCCTAACAGGATCATCACCGACAACGGCACACAATTTACGAGCCGCACCTTCATGCAGTACGTCCAAGACCTTGGCGCCAAGGTCTGCTTCGCTTCTGTTGCTCATCCGAGAAGCAATGGTCAAGCAGAGAGAGGAAATGCTGAAGTGCTGCGCGGGCTCAAGACCAGAACTTTCGACAGGCTGCACAAGTGCGGAAGAAACTGGATCGAGGAGCTGCCGGTGGTTCTTTGGTCGATCAGAACGACGCCAAATCGAGCCACTGGCCAAACACCTTTCGCTCTAGTCTATGGAGCAGAGGCAGTTCTCCCCACGGAACTCGTATACGGATCACCTCGAGTGCTCGCTTATGATGAGCTTGAGCAAGAACAGCTGCGGCAAGACGACGCGCTGCTCCTTGAGGAAGATCGTCTTCAGGCTATTGTACGAGTTGCTCGATACCAGCAAGCTTTGTGCCGCTATCATAGCCACAAAGTTAAAGCCAGAAGCTTCAAGGAAGGCGACCTTGTTCTTCGGCGCGTTCAATCCGCCAAGAATTGCAACAAGTTGACGCCGAAGTGGGAAGGCCCCTATAGGGTGAAACGAGTCACAAGGCCCAGCGCTGTCCGCCTTGAGACCGAAGATGGCATTCCGGTGAGCAACTCCTGGAACATAGAACATCTTCGTAAGTTTTTCCCGTAGGGCGCGGTTGCCGGAACCCGTTCCGGCAACCACCTTTTGTACAAGTCTTGCCGCTGTTGCATGTAATCCTTTGTACAAAGCTAGGCGCAGATCCCGTGCATAAGTAAAATCCCATGTGCTCCGCACAGCTTGTCCATTTCATGCATTAGTTCATTTCTTGCATGCGATTATCTGACACTTTGTGCAGCACCTACAACCGGTAAGCAGTAACGAGCCGAAGAGCTCCATATTATTATTTTCTCTTCTTTCTTTTTCTTTTAAAGGAAAAGAAGGTTCCCTCGCACACAAGTTTGCCGGGGGGAAGGAGAAGATTGTGGTGTGGACCAGGCGTCGTTCAAGCAAAGTTTTGCCTTGCCGGGAAGCAAACAACAGAAAAGCTAAGTTGCCAAAGTTTGAGCAATCACTTTTTTAAATTTTTAGAGTTATCTTCCTCGAACGACCCTGCTTTGTATGGAAAACCTGTGCACGGAGGAACCTACTCGTGGCTAGTTGCGCCCTTACTTTGTTTCGAGTCCGCTCAACAGCTTAAGCGTGCTGCAACTAGTCGCGACAAGGTTTCTTGTCGGAAGCAGAGCCGCCAGTAGGCTGCTGAAGTTCCGCACTCAGCGCTCGCGGCTCGGGCGCCTGCGCCGACAAGTTCCCTAGAAGCGTAGGGTAAAAACATGCAAAGGAAGGAATCTAGTAGAGGGAATAACATTGCAATTGATAACAGAAATAAAGTTATATTACAAAGATAACTTGTCGCAGCTCTAACAGACTGTTCTCATAACATGACTAGCAGCGACAAGGGAAAAGAAGAAATGGGCGGCCTAATCTATGCGTCCTCCCTTGACTCGCTTGATCTCGCTCACCTTGTCCACAATGGGTGCGACAAGGACCTTGAGTGCATCCAGATCGGCGTCAGGCGGCAAGGATCGGAGGACGTTGGTGAAGTTGAGGCCTGGATTACGGAAGGCTACCTTCATCAGCACCTTCTGGAGAACCCCGGCGCAGATTTTGCGCGACTCGTCGGCCAGCTGCTTCGGGATCCTCTCCCGGAGCCACTGGAGTGCCGTCGCCACGCCCTTGAAGAACAGGCTGAGCTTGGCGCTGGGTTGAAGACTCTCGTCGGAAGGATACCCGAAGTCCTCCATCCCCAGCTGCGCCAGCTCCTCGTTGATGACTGCGGCAGTGTTCACCAGACCCTCGGTCCAGTGCTCCACTGTGTCCCTGAACGAGTTCTGGGTAACTGCAATGCTCTCCAGCAGCACCGTGAGCCGCTGCGCCTCAGCCGACTTCACACCCTTTCCCTTGTCGGCTTTCGGGCCCATGGCGGAGGTGGTGGAGAAGGTCGACGGCGTGGTGATGCTGGTGGCAATGGGGGGGGGGCGGAGCGCTGCTCTCTCGGCTTCGAGAAGAAGGGGGGGAGCGGCGGAGTTCGTGAAGGAGTAGCAGCAACCAGCGAGGGGGAACGAACTGCCCCTGTTTCCTCTGCTTATAAAGAGGGACGGGGCGGACGTTTCGCCCTTCCTAATAAACAACCACCCACGATCTCTCCCACGATGCCGCATTCAACGCGTGCCGTTATGGGAAAGCGCGGTGGATACGGAACAAGATTTGGCGTGGCCCAGCCCGCGTGTGCCCGTGCCCTGTCTTGGGCCTGGCCCAACAGCGCTCGGCACCGTGTCTGGCCCAGGCCCGGGGGCTCCTGTCGGTGTACTAGAACAGGGGTACCCTAGTACCCCGAACTTGTGCACGGGCAGTTGCAGCACCCCGCGGCAAGGCTTGCCGGGCGAACGCCAAGACCCTCCAAGGTTCCCTTGGAGCCATCCAAGAGCAAAGTATATAAGCTAAGGAGACAAGACCCCGGCAAGAGGAGCTTGCCGGGAAGGCCGGCCAAGGCACACCAAGGAACTTGCCGCGACGCGCCACGTGCTCCGGCAAGGCGACATGGCCCCGGCAAGAGGAGCTTGCCTGGAAGACTAACCAAGGTACCTCGAAGCCCGGCGAGCGACAAGCCTCCGGGCCCGACAAGATAGCTGCAGCGGCAAGGCGCTTGCCGCGGCAGGCGGCCACTCTGCGCCCACGCTCCAGCGCATCCACCAACGTGTCGCTCTGGGGGCCTCTCCGGGCGCGCGTGGCGGGAGGCTGTGCAGCCAGCGATGCGCAGTGGCATGCAAAGCTGACAAGATCGCCATCGTGGCGAACGGTGGTGCCCCTAACGGTCCTTTTCTACATTGTTCGGGCGACTCAGACGGGCATTTAATGCCCTTGTCCCCTACCGTCAGAGTTAGGTAGGATGCACTGTACAAGCAACTGTACCAACTACCTCGCTTTTTACGTTTTTCCCCTCCTCTGCGTTGCCACCTGTCGGTGACCCCTTTAGCGTATAAAAGGAGGCCCATGCGCAATGTAGAGGGGGTTCGGCCCCGAGGTTCGATCACTTCGACTCGTTTGTAAACCAGAAAGAGACCACGCTCTCTCAAGAGCAAGAACACAAGATAACATAGCCAGACAAGCAGCAGTAGGAGTATTATCTCTCCGGAGAGCTCCGAAGCTGGGTAAACCGCTCGTGTGCCTCGCCTCGATCTGCTCTTTGTGCGATCTCCGCCCCCCGCCGAACCGAAAGGGGCCCGGTCAGCCGGCCCCATAGGTGTTCGAGGGTCAGTTTCCCCCGACACTAGTCTTGTGTCTCTTTTCAACCAGAGTGTTGTCCGGATTCTTTTATTCGTATTTCTTGTCCAACTAATTTTAATCGTAGTGGTTTCAAAGTCTATATTGTTCCTTGAGCTGTTGGTTCTTGTCGTATTCCTTGTTCCTCTTTGCTAACAGAGTGTTTGCAATACCATTCATCTCCACTGTATTCTTTCTTTCAATTTGTTCAACCTCTCAAGGTTCGTGGTTTCACTCGTTTGTCAAAGAACCAACTTTGTTTTACCTCTTCCTCTTCCGCTGTTCTCTAGTGGCATCCCTAGATCTCGGGGCGAGATCTCTTGTCAGTGGAGGAGAGTTGTAATGACCCGAGATCGATGCTCGAGATACCTTCCATGTTTTGTGTGTCAGCTCTATTATTTATTTGTTTTTTGCATTCATCATGGCATCATCCGCATTTGCATCGGCAGTCCATTGCCGTCATATTTTAAAAAACTTACATTCGTTCGTCATTGACGTTTCTCCTTTTGCCTTCATCACCTTCCCTCGGACTGCTTTGCCTTCGTTGACCGTTCCAAGACCAACCTTGTTCTTTGTTTTCCCTCTTGCCTAAACCGGAGTCTCTCTGTACAGTGCACATGACCCCTCGCGTGCGCATCTGAAACTGCTCCGATCCCAAACCGTGATATTGTTTCCGATGGATTGGGATCATCCCCAAACATCCCTAAGCATTTTCGGTTTCTTACTTGGTCTACCTAACCTACTTTTCTCAGTCGTTCGATTATGATAGAAGGGTCCGATTAGCCCCTAGCCTAAAACACATTTGCTATAAATAGTGGGCAACCCTAATTTCTAAGGAGGTAATAGCACCCCCAGGTACCCTAACTTGCACACAATGTGATGATTCAGTCCCAAACTTGCAAAAGTTGACTCCACCATACCCCAACTTGCACCTCATGTGATGATTTAGTCCCAGAACAATCACAACTCGACAATTGGCAGCCAGGTGGCTGGACCGGTCAGCGCACGCACTTTTGCAGAAACCCCCCTACCATTTTCTTTAATCAACCCGCATGCACCTTCACCTGAATTAAATCCCACTCATTAACACACGTTAGGATGTGTTGACTGATCAAAAAATACTACTTAAGTAGTAGACGGCAGTAACAGATAAGTACTAGATAAACTTCGATTGATGAATATATTGATGTAAATATACATATATAGTGATGTGACCGTACCAGTTAAGGTTGTTTAGCACTACTAGTACTACATCAACTAATAGAGAATTATGAATGCCATTTTGAAATGATCGTACTAGACTTCACAATTAGGGGGCCTCTATACCAGTGGATTTTGCATTAGCTTATTCTGAATGCTAATTAGGTGAGGAACAAAGCAATTAATGCAAAAGACTTCTTTCCCTGTACACCGCCTTACATTATGGACACTGGCAGAGCACATGCGTGGAGTGACCATGAGCCTGACATATAAAATCATCTGCAAATTCAGAGCTGGGTAGACCAAACTTACAAACATCACCCATTGTCACTTCTCTTGCAACTTCATTTCAGCCTCAAACTTTCAGTGCCAGTACCAACCTGTTGCACATTCTTATACCTCTGAGTTAGCTTACAGGAGGTTGCACTGCAGGCAGGCGGTCAGGGTGATCGATGATGATGAAGGTTAGCCCAAGGGTCAGCGTTCACGTTTGCTTGTGCAACACTAGACATGGGAAGGAGTGCCCCCATTACAATAATAGAGGGGACAGCGCCACAGCCGATTCACCAGAGAAAATGAAGCCGGAGCAGGTCACCCACAACAAGATGACGACGGCGACGTCCTCGCCGTCCCCTGTCGCCGGCCTGCGGGGCGTGGTGAGCTCCCTCGTCGCCTTCTTCATCGTCGTCAGCATCGTCTCCCTGCTGTTCGACCACGGCCACGAGTCGCAGGTGCAGCTGGCAGTGCAGCACCAGCACCAGGAGGTGAAGATGGCCGCGGTTGGGTGCCACGAGGCGCAGGTGCAGTGGACGGACGAGCTCATGGGCAAGGCCGTGAGGGGCTCCGGCAAGGAGTGCAACTGGTCCGTGGGGCGGTGGGTGTACGACAACGCCTCCCAGCCGCTCTACTCTGGCCTCAACTGCTCCTTCATCTTCGACGAGGTCGCCTGCGAGAAGTATGGCCGGAACGACACCAGGTACCAGTATTGGAGATGGCAGCCCGATGGATGTGATCTTCCAAGGTATGTCTGGCTTTGTTACATCCACCACCAGCTCGGTTTTGCTCATTCATGCCAACAACCAAAAAAATGCAGCATGCCTGAAACTATATAGTACCTACATGCTCTGTGTTAGTGTTGCAAAATTTGAAACTGAACTCTTGGGGAGTAAATGGAAAGAGTTTTATTGAATACAAGGGAATTAAAATCTTAGCTTGGTCTCTAGCTGAAACCAAAGGATGCATGATACTAGCAATGGAACAAATCATATATGAGATGGCAAAATGAGTGGGATTGACCTGCTGAACCAGAGGGCAGCGAAAGATCAACAATGAGAAATCTATATTTTTCTGCAAAAGTGCGTGCGGGTTGATTAAAGAAAACGGTAGGGGGGTTCTGCAAAAGTGCGTGCGTTGACCGGTCCAGCCACCTGGCTGCCAATTGTCGAGCTGTGATTGGCCTGGGACTAAATCATCACATGAGGTGCAAGTTGGGGTATGGTGGAGTCAAGTTTTGCAAGTTTGAGACTGAATCATCACATTGTGTGCAAGTTAGGATACCTGGAGTGCTATTACCTCATTTCTAAGGGAGATGTTCCATCCATCCTCCTACCCGCCGCGACCTACCTGCCTTCTCTGCCTCGGGATCATCCCGATCCAGTTCCACCCGAGACCAATTGCAGCCTCCACCTTCTCCTCGTTTTCTCCTCCTGTCCAACCACTGCCGCTACCCAAATCCTACAGAAGCCCAAGCTCCTCTGCCCGTGCGCCCACCTCTCCCGCAACACCTCCAGCTCCCTGTCCTCCCCTTCCCGCACGCCTTCCTCCTACTTCGAGGAGCCACTCATGCTCGATCTCCACTACAGCCGCTGCTCAAGCCCCATGCCGCAACTCCAGTTCGTCTGCCGCCGTCCCCGGCGAGCTGCACCACCGACGGTCCGCGAACCAGGCCGCTCCCGCACCCCAGCCTCCTCACGCGCGAGCAGCAGCACAACCCCGAGCATCCCCACACCTGCGTGACCGCCTCCCCAACCACCTCGCGTCGCCGGCAAGCTCTGGCGAGCCACAGGCCGTCGCCATGCCCTGGCTCTCCTTTGTCTCCTTTCCCTTGGTTCTCTCTCTCACTCACCGAGTCTCTCTCTCCCCGCGTTCCCCCATAGAAGATTCTAGCCATGGATGGGGGCCGAAGCCACCGACCGCTGCCTGGAGCCTCGCCTACGCTACATCCCCCACTGGACCTCCCCTGTTTTGCCTCCCGCACCAAGCTCCTCAAGTTCCGCGTCCGTCATGGCCATGGAGCTCGTCGGCGTCGTCCTCGCCTGCATCCGCCTCGGCCCTCGTCAGCAAGCTTCCGCAGCGTCTGGCCCTGCCATGGCGGCTCGGCCTCCCCTGCTTCCTGTGTTAACCACCGCACCAAGTCCCAGTCTCGCGCTCGGCCTCTGGATCGATCGATCCAATGCCATGCCAGGCCTCCCCATGTCCCGCCCAGCTAGGGCCTCCTCAACTGGCCTACCTCCTCCACCGAACGGGCCAATGGCCCATGGTGAGCAGCCCAACTGCCTCAATGCACTGTTCAATTTCAGCCCGATTCATGTTTTTTCGCAGAACGAATTTAGCTATTTTGTCCAGGAACTGCATATTTACAATTTGCCCCCTGTTGTTCATGCATTTAATATCTCACCAACCATGCATCCAAATTAAACAATCTTTATACGTAAAATGCTTAGAATTTCATGTACTTTCAAAATTTTCCACTTTCATCCATGTTAAAAATGTTTAAATTGATGTATGCATTTTTTGTGCATAAATGACATGCTAAAATGGTTTATTTCATAACTAAATAACCGTAGCTCCGACTCTAATAAACTATATATGTAAATGGGGTAGAAAAATGCATGGATTAACATGGTGGCATTACTTTGCATGTTTAATAACTCTAAAATTCTATATAGGGCAGAACAGTACCATAACCAAAATATGCACATGGGGATTTTTCGCACTTGTTGTTTGTTATTCCGGCCTCATTTAAACTTGCCTAGATGTGTAGTTTACATATGCTTCACCTTTTGCCATATTTAACAACATTTAATATTGTTGGGTACATAAACAAGAGTGAACAAAATATTTGAATGTGGTGTTTCGTCAATATGCAACTCGTTGCATATTGAGCTCCACTTAATTTGTAGTATTGTTTGCTGCACTTTGCCATGCCATGCCTCATTAAATGGATATGCATCATACTTGATTGTACATCCTGTTTATGCTTGTTGGTTTACTATGTCGCTTGCTTCTTCCCGGTTGCGCTTCTCCTTGTTAGTTCCGGTTACATTGCGCTTGTGAGGACCCGTTCGACTACGTTGGTTCGTCTACTTCATGGACTCGTTCTTCTTCCTAGCGGGATTTCAGGCAAGATGACGGTCACCTTGGATCTCACTACTATATTTGTTGTGCTAGTTATCTCGATGCCATCGTTATGTCGTGCTACCTACCACTTGTTTATCAAGCCTCCCAAATTGCCATGATAGCCTCTAGCCTTTTCACCCTTCCTAGCAAACCGTTGTTTGGCTATGTTACCGCTTTGCTCAGCCCCTCTTATAGCATTGCTAGTTGCAGGTGCAGTTGCAGGTTGTTCCATGTTGGGACATGGATATCATGGATATCATGGGATATCACAATATCTCTTATTTAATTAATGCATCTATATACTTGGTAAAGGGTGGAAGGCTCGGCCTTTTGCCTGGTGTTTTGTTCCACTCTTGCCGCCTTAGTTTTCGTCATACCGGTGTTATGTTCCGTGATTTTGCGTCGCTAACATGGTGAGGGTTTATGGGCCCCTCTTGACAGTTCGCTTTGAATAAAACTCTTCCAGCAAGGCCCAACATTGGTTTTACCATTTGCCTAATAACAACTAAAAACTTGCATAGGGACCTACCGGCCCCCGAGGTCTCTTAATCAACCCCCCCAGGCCAGTGCTCCTCATGAGTGTTGGTCCAACCTGTCAACTGCCGATGGCCGCCAGGGGCAACTCTGTGATTGGCCTACCAGAAGTTTGGACAATCCGGTTATGACTCAAGACGAGATACGCGTGGCTACTATCAGGGTGTCGGCACGCTGGGAGGTCTTGCTGGACTTGCTTTACCATTGTCGAAATGTCTTGTGCACCGGGATTCCGAGTCTGATCGGAGGGTCCCATGATGAAGGATTGTCTCCGCGGATCTTAAGCTTGTCATGGGCTATGTTGGGACACCCCTGCAGGGTTTAAACTTTCGAGAGTCGTGCCCGTGATTATGTGGCAGATGGGAATTTGTTAATATCCGGTTGTAGTAAACTTGAAGTAAATTCAATAAAATACACCAACCGCGTGCGTAACCGTGATTGTCTCTTTTCAGGGAAGTTCGAGAGGAGAACACGGTTGGGTTATGTTTGAACGTAAGTAGTTCAGGATCACTTATTGATCATTAATAGTTTACGACCGTTTGCATAGTTTCTCATCTTACTCTTGTACCCGTATGTTAGCCATCATACATGCTTAGCCGCTTGCTGCAACCTCACCACTTATCCTTTTCCATACCCATTAACCTTTGCTAGTCTTGATACCCATGGTAATGGGATTGCTGAGTCCTCATGGCTCACAGATTACTACAACAACAGTTGCAGGTACAGGTAATGCGATGATTTGACACGAGTGTGATGCTTGCTTGTTTGGAGTTCTCCTTCTTTGACCAAGGGATATGTTCCTGGTGGGGGAGCCTGGGATTAGTAGGGTGGATATCGTTCTCCTTTTTCGTTTGATTTCATCCATAGTAGGATCCTGCTCTTCTGTATGATGGTTGCTATCTATTGATGTATTGTTGTATGAATGTTGTAACTTGTGGCGAGTGTAAGCCTTTATATTGTATTCTCATCTATTCAATACATGGTATGTTGTAATGATATCCACCTTGTTATGCACCCAAAATGCGATTGTGCCCCGAGCATGTCATCTCGTGATTGGGATAGAATCGCATCTTGGGTGCGACAATGCATTAGAGACAACTGCTTTCACGTTAAATAGGGCACCGTCTAAATCCATTGAGACGACACCGTATGAACTGTGGTTTGGCAAGAAATATAAGCTATCACTTCTTAAAGTTTGGGGTTGTGATGCTTATATGTGAAAAAGCTTCGGCCCGATAAGCTCGAACCCAAATTGGAGAAGTGCGTCTTCATAGGATACCCTAAGGAAACAATTGGGTACAGTTTCTACCACAAATCCGAAGGCAAGATATTTGTTGCCAAGACTAAAAACTTTCTAGAGAAGGAGTTTCTCTCGAAAGAAGTGAGTGGGAGGAAAGTAGTACTTGATGAGGTAATTGTACCTTCTCTCGAACTAGAAAATAGCTCATCATAAAAAACCATTCCCATGATGCCTACACCAAATAGAGAGGAGGCTAATGATGATGATCATGAAACTTCAGATCAATTTACTACCGAACCTCATAGGTTAACCAGAGCACGTTCCACACCAGAGTTGTATGGTAACCCTGTTCTAGAAGTCATGTTACTAGACCATGACGAACCTACGAACTATGAAGAAGCTATGATGAGCCCAGATTCTGATAAATGGCTTGAGGCCATGAAAGATAGGATCCATGTATGAGAACAAAGTGTGGACTTTGGTTGACTTGCCCGATGATCGGCGAGCCATAGAGAATAAATCGATCTTCAAGAAGAAGACTGACGTTGATGGTAATGTTACTGTCTACAAAGCTTGATTGTCACGAAAGATTTTCGACAAGTTCAAGGAGTTGACTACGATGAGACTTTCTCATCCGTAGTGATGCTTAAGTCTGTCCGAATCTTGTTAGCAATTACCACATTTTATGATTATGAAATCTGGCAAATGGACATCAAAACTGCATTCCTTAATGGATTTCTTAAGGAAGAGTTGTATATGATGCAACCAGAAGGTTTTGTCGATCCTGAAGGTGCTAACAAAGTGTGCAAGCTCTAGCGATCCATCTATGGACTGGTGTAAGCATCTCGGAGTTGGAATATACGCTTTGATGAGGTGATCAAAGCATATGGTTTTATACAAACATTCGGAGAAGCCTATGTTTACAAGAAAGTGAGTGGG